ATTTTGATTCAAAAGTCATGCCATTTGTGTTGGTCCGTTGTGTTTTTCAGTTTCCTACCAGAAAACTAGGAAGTTTAGTTAGGTGCCAGTTTAATTAACTAATCGAATTTTGCGTCAGCTTCCACTGCCAAAAGTACCAGTTCCTGCTTTATGGACTGTGGTATTAATGAGCTCGATGCTCTAGCAAACTCACCAGATCTCAGCTCCTTAAAGAATCCAAAGAGTGTGAAGATGGGAATCACTTATGAGCTGAAGTTTCACCGTTACAGCAACTCCACAGCAGGGCAACAAACCGATTATCTCCTTGTCATGCTGCCTCAATGCAGTTATTTCTGCCAAAAGAACTTATGACAAAGAACTGAGTACATAAACTCAGACTGAGCTGAACAAAACACCTGTGTCTTTATCAGTCTAAATTTTGTTGTAAAGAGAAAAAAAAAAGATTTTTCATTTGATTTTTATGCCTTCTTTTTACCTCTCTTTATATCTGCCAACTGTTTTTCTCTCTGCCTTTTTTCTTTGTCAGATCTGTAATGGAAAGAAACCTGGCAGCCAGAGTGAACATCCTCCCCGGGACCACAGCAATGTAAATCCCACACGAGCCGGAGAAGAAGATGTTTCCTTCTTCCTTGCACACAATCACTAAAGTTCTAATTGGTTTTCCCCAGGAGTAAGCTGTTAGCTCCCCAATGTGGTCATGTTATTTATATGGATGAGTTAACGTCCCTGTTTATGGGTAACCACAAAAAAGAAAGGAAGTCTAAAGAAAAAGCTGAAGACTGCGTTTTAGTTATTAACTCAACGTAGGTTTTCAATAGAACCTGAGAACACAGGTACCATGCTTTCAGACAAACAGGCTTCGACTGAAATAAACACTATGTACAGTTGAAATCAGATATTTACATATATACATTTTTTCTTCATTGTCTGAAGTTAAATCAGACCTAAAACTTCTCCTGTTTTAGGTTAGTTGGAATTACCAAAATTATCCCCATTCGACAAATGTCAGAAAATTTAGCGAGAACATTTTTTAGAGATTTCTTTTGTAACTTTCTTTGAATTCAGAAGTTTCCATACAACTGGTCAGAAATCAGGGATATTTGTCTTTTATGCTGTAACGCTCTGATCAAACCCTTTGGGTGCAAGAAAGTCTGCTTTTGAAACAAAGTGGCTAGATGTTTTTAACTCTAAATTATATAAAATTAAAATAACTTTGAACACTTCTGATTTTTTATATAAGCCTCCTTAGAAGGCCCTGTCAAAGTCCACCCCTAAATCCAGATGTATGTGGTTCGACTTCAAAACTTATCTAATCTGAAGGAACTTTGGGTATTTTGCAAAAAGGAATTGAGGGAAAACAATTCAGAGATCAGCATGTATAGTACTGATGCAGGAGAATCAGAACAAATGCACACCACACTTTTCAGATATTTTAGCTCAAAATGGTTTATCGTTGTATTTTCTTTGGTTTCTTTTTATTGTCTTAACAGCATCTTGCCACTGATGCTTACTGCTTTCTGTTCTGTTATGTTTTGTGGCTCATCAGGTACAACTGGAAAAGTAAAACCCAGGTTGAGAGTGGTATCCTGATTGTAAGCTGTTTTCAATTCACTTCAATTCACTGTTTTCAGTTCTGGAAAAGTATGCACATTTTTAATTGTGTTGTGTTGTTGCAGCTGGTGAAAACACTGTCCACGATCAGGGCAGTTGAAGCTCACATAAGGTAAAAAAGATTAAAAGGTTTGTTTTGTTGTTTTTTTTCTGTTATATGTCAGTTAATTTGCTTTTAGAACTTTTTGTAAAAATTCAAAAAGTAAGAAATAACTTAAGAAAATTTATATCATTTAAAATATAATGGCAGTGAATTTCAAGCTTGTCATTAGAGGCACAGCTTGGAGCAAATTCTATTAACACTTAGACTGGACTTGTTTTAGCAGGACAGTTAGTCTTGCTTCCATACACCTAGCCTGCCTGTTTGACTGCCAATCCCTGCTATAAACTAAACTGCAAGTTTATGAATTTTGCAGTTGAATAATAAACGAGTAACACAATAGTTCCTGGTTGCAAATGTTGCTGTAGGATTATTCTGCACTACCCCTGAGGCAACAAGTGGTGAACAGTTCATCAATCTGTGCTTGACAATGTTTCACTTTGCATCAGTTGTTTTAAGTAGTTACAAATTGCTTGTTTGTTGCCAGAATGTTAGCCCCTTATGCTAGCTCATTTAGCTAGCATAAGGGGCTTAAAAGCATATGCATATTGCGCAACGTTTCCATTTTCAAGGAGATTAAGAGTAAGATTCAGTCTGGATTCTTTTACGCATCAGGCTTAAAACGTACGTTTGACAACTCTTGATCACTTGGTATGATTTTAAACTCTTTGCTGCTTTCTGGCTCCCTTCAAGGTCCATCAATCCCTGTGCGAAACTAGAAGCCAAGTTTTTCGTAGGATGGTATTCGGCTTTACACGAAGCGGATAACGACATATTTCCATTAAGACTGATAAAGGCTTGAAATCAAAGCCAGTCACATCGTGAACAGCAGTCAGACAGGAACAACTGAGCCGCGTGTGTGCACTGTCGCTCAAAGTTCTCCGAAAATGTTCTGCACAGTTCATGTTTGTTGCAGATATTTAATCTGTTTTGTTGTTCAAAGTTAATTTATTGTTTCATTTATTGTTTCATTAATTGAAGATTTGTTTCCATATGATGGTGTTGTTTTTAAGAGAAATAAAGTTTTTTATTGGAAGACATGTTTCTGACACTTTGTTCCCATGGAAATTGAAAGTTTGTAAGACGAAGGGATATCCAACTGGGTATCCATCTAGTCAAGATTTGCAGGTTCAAATAATATTCTTGGTTAAACTACTTTTACAGACACAACATTTTTTTGTACTTATTAAACTTCTGACAACTCATGTTTTTACCAATATTATCAGAAATGGCAGAGTTAATTTAAATTTGTTGGTTTCCTAGTACAGTCCTAGTATTTAAGCATAGTTTACAATTTTTTAATCGAAAGGCTACTTCAGCATCTTGATGTTAGCCGTTGGTTTTATCCATTGCCATCCCCATTTGTTTGATGCGTGTGAAGTAGTATCAAAAGTTCGAGCTGGATTAGTGACGTTTAGGGTTAGGTGTGCAGCAAAGCCTTTAATTTGTGTCACTCTTACTTTAGATTCACTATAAACTGCCAGTGTGATGGATTTAAAGATGCCTAAACCAAGAACAGGAAGAAGAAAATAAAAATAATTTATTTTGTCTTGAGCCCAGCTGTTCTGCACACATTCAGAGCAGGTCCAGGAACAAGCTGCCCTATTTTGATCACTGGCTGATAAGTGGGTGCACCGTTAGTTTTTAATTCAAACAAAATGTTTATGATTCCCACACCTCTTGTATTCATATTAGATTAAATAGATTTAATCTGTACTGTGTGAACAGTACAAGTAAGCAGATTAGGTTTCAAACCTATGGTATTTACCTTAGTAACAACTGAATCAAATTCATCCTTTTTGTTGGATGAGTGACCAGACCATGACATGTGTCTAACAAACAAATAGTCTTGAAAATGGAACCGAGATATAAATGTGATGCTAATAAACACATTAGCATCACAGCTAATGAACACAGTCTTTATGGTTTTATTTACAAATAAATACTTAGGGTTGTAGAAGAAATCTAAGACATACTTGAACTGGATGAAGGTGACACAGAGAAAAACTGACATGTACAAACTAAAACCAATCCCCTGAGAAAAAAAGAAAAAAACCCCACAATGGGCAACCAGAGAGAACAACCTCTTATTTTCATGAAATGGATGGATGTGTGCCCCACTCTACACATTGCCTTCACAGGAAAACCTGTAAAAAGAGAGTGCATGGCTGGTGGGAGATAAAGGACAGCTGAAGTACCATCATCTGTAAATGACCACAACCACTTTGACGGAGGAGTTGACCTGTAGCACCAGATGATTGGCTCCTAATTCTCACAGAGAAAGACCAAAAGATGGGATGTGACAGTGCCACATCATTTTATTTTACAAATATTACTTTATGTTACAAATATATAAGGAAATGAGCAATCAGCACATATATTGCAATGCTGCGAGGGCATCTGGCTCAAAAAAAAAAAAAAAAAAAGGGTGCTGGAAGTGGGATGTGCACTCCCACACAGGCCTACTTGTGTGTGTGTGTGTGTGTGTGTGTGTGTGTGTGCGCGTGTGTGTGTTATGGTGAACAAGGACTGTCACATGGCTTATAACAGCTTTTGAGAAGTAATGTTTGACTCTGTGGCTTCCTGCATCTCAGTTCCTTACCCATGCAATTTTCTGGTCAGCAATTTGGCAAACCACATTTTCAGCCCTTTTATACTACCGAAGCATCCATTAAGCTAAACTAAACTGATAGGAATATGTCTACCAAAGTCTGTTATGCTCACAAAGATCCAGTAGATGTCTTTTAAATTGCTATGCCTTTCAAACTGCTTTCCCACATGAAGATCATAATGAGATAAAAGGGCTCAGTTTGGAGACAATTTTAATGTTAGGTGTATTTCTGTAATGTGTTATAATGGGAAAGGCATCTATACAGATCTAGTTAACTTGGTAAATATATGTGCAAAAAGAGTAAACTATATATTTTTTTAAATCATGCTTGATTTGGCCCTTATTGAGAAAGGTTTGTTTGTTTATTAGGATTTGGCATTGTAACAAATTAATAATTCATAATTGTACAATTATAACTGGTAAAATAATTAAACAGGGCTCTCCAGGACGCTCCCAGAACAGCTTGTTGGTAACCTTAGGTGGGATTGTAATCTACCTTTTATTACCTATAACAGATCCTTCTTTGAAAAAGTGCAGTAATTGGTTAGCAAGCGTCAAAAACTTATTATTTGGTTAAAAATACTCAAAATATTGAACAGAACTATACTGCATATCTTGGTGTAAGATGAAAGCCACTCATAAGATGGCGCCCCTGTTGACATATGATCCCCAAAATATCGCGAGACATCGCACACGATGGAATTTTTTTTCATGGCGGCGCCCTTTCATTAAGTGTAATAACGCTGAGCGAGAAGAAAACGAATACTGGGCTAAGTAAATAGTGTAGAGCTATTTCTGTTTTTCTTTTCGCAGACTCTTTTGACCACCTCCATTATATGGAAATTCTCGGAGAAGGACGCTTGTTTTCACAAACACGACTGTGGCTTCGGTGAGACCCTGACTTCGGCAGACTCCTAAATAACAACAGCATACAACAAAGACATCAGCACAGATGATACAGGTAAGTGCAGTTGCTTTTTTTCTACAGTGATTAGAACTTACTGGTAGCAACACACGACCAAATAAGCGACACGATGCACCCGAAATATGAAGGAGCAGCACAAAATTTGCACTCGGCTATAGAACAGCAGTGTGCTAGATCTACTGGTCGCAAGATCAGCTAATGACATGTAAACAGATGATTATAATTCAAGACTGTCATGAGCGCAGGTCACGGTGCTGATGCCTCGTAGAAAAGGAAAGTAAAACTAAAGTATTTTTGACATTATTAATACGCGCAAAGCATAATATATCTGCTTGGCTATTGGCTTGCTATTAGAAAATTAAAAATCATTAGATGTCATTAAGTGCAAATTGTGCATAAACTGGTGCATTGTATCTGTTCTAAAAATGCATTACAACACCTGGAAGCAAATGTCAATTTGAAGTGTATGTTCCAACTTTGTATGTTCTACAAACAGCAACATAGAAAAAGGTTGTTTTTTTTTTTTCTATGTTGCTCTTACCTTAGAAAACATGCATCTAGCAACTTTTACAGCTTCATAAAGAGTTCAGAAGATTTAAGGCATTGCATATGAATAAATTAGCACTCATATGTTGACCGCCCTTGACACAAAACAAGTTAGTGGTCGAGATGCCAAATCTCAGAGAGATCAGTGAGGAAGATGTGGCTCAATTGCAACCACTATCATCATTTCAATACGCAACAGGAGCAACACAATTGCATGTTTTCCTAATATCATGCAGCCGTTTACTGGGTTGAAAACATCACTACTGCGATCCATAATACTATGCATTTCTTTTTCTTTTCTTTTTTTAAGTAAATCTGTCTGTTTATTTTCCTGTAGACATCCATTGATTGGTTTTAACTAAAAAACAATAAGGCCTTGATGAAAGAAGCTCTGTTATGGACCAGCAAGACCCAGAACTTACCACGAAGGACGAGGAGGAAGAGGAATTGCAGAGCAGTCCACTCGCCACTAGTAACCTACTTATAAGTTTGTCATTTAAGCATAACACTTTTTTATGGTGCTAATTTCTTTATGTGAATGCAGTATTAGAAATGTGTTGATTTTGGATACTAATGGTTGTTATTGAGGCTTGGTAACCAGTTTTTCATTGAATTCACCAGTATCAAGGATTGTCTGACTAAAGTAATGTTGCCCATGTGACTTGTGGGATCATAGAGTCAGAGTTGTGCAAGAAGTTAATGTTATTTGAATCTTCCCTGCAGATGTCGACCAGCTGTTTGTGGTTAAAACAGAAGACCCGGACGAGTGGTCCTGTGGTCTGATCTATCACAGTCCAGAGGATGGCACAAAGGGGGAGCTCTCAAGCAGTCCACTGCCCACTGGTAATCTGTTTAACAATTATGGATTTTTAATTTGGAGAAAATCTTTAGTGTTTTTTTTTTTTATTGTTATTATTATTTTAACTGCTACACTATTGGAAGGTTGTTTCAACTTTGATTAGAACAACATGGCTATGATAATATGAAGAATTTAGCATTATCCACTTGTTGTAATGTTATCTACTCTCCCGACCAATAAGACCTCCTTGGTGTGTTACACACAGATATCATCTGCACAGCTCATGCTAAAACTCAAACTCGCCTTTCTTATGCACAGGCGTTAAAAAAACAACATATCATTTGAAACCATTTTTAGAGAATAGCCTGGTAGCATGTTTGATGTGATCTTCTTATGTTAAACAAATTGGGGAGTTAAGATTGAGCTCCTCTCGCTGTCCTCTGCAGGCCCATGTAGGGCTGCTCGATATTAGAAAATCTTGGGATGGGAATAATGTTGGTAAATATTGCGATGGCAATAATATTGTAAGACATGTCTATTTTCTTCTTTCCACTCTTTCTTATCTGTGCGTCCACCACTCTGTAGTAACTCTAGTAATTTAATAAAATGGTACACAATAGTACACAAACATAATGATGTTAACTTTTAAATTGTGTACAATTTATGAGTAAAGATTCACACTCAGATTCAGAAATACTTTATTGATCCCAAATGGAAACTAAGCATGTTCTGCAACTTTAGTGCCAAAACAAGAGCAATACAAAGTCACATGGAAAATCTTATAGTTGTGTGTGTTTTAATGGGTTTTTTTTGCAGATGACCTGCAAGTAGTCAAAGAAGAAGCGTCTAATGAATCGGACTACAGAATAAAACATCAGGGACCAGGACTTTACATAAAGCAGGAGACGGAGGAAGTTTCAGCCAGTCCATTGACAGCTGGTATGAGGATTTTTGTACTGTTTCAGCTGTTTCCATTTAGCTGAATAAAAACTGTGTAGCACTGCTTTGGTACTGGACTGATGGTATTGTTTTTTTTGGGGGGGGTTTCCATTTCGGTTCATGTTTCTATACTTTCTGTGTAAGAACATATGCTATAGTAATGAGTGTAACTTTTATTTTGCTACAGTTTTTTTTTTTTTTTTTTCATAAACCGATATCTCCTCATCAATAGATGTGCCTTCAATTAGCATAAATGTATCAGTTAACCTATCAGAGCTTTGTGGAAAGAACCACAAGGTTTAAACCAAATCACACAGTTTAATAGACAATTGTCACTGATACTGATAAAATGTATATAAACTTTCTGAATTCGAAGAATGTTACAAAAAATTCAGTAAGAAAGGCTACTTGTTGATATAAATGTGTATTTTACACTTTCCTACAGATGTCCGTAAGGTGCTAGTGGTTAAAGAAGAAGTTCCTGATGAGTGGAGCTTCTCTACAAACCATAGGAACCCAGAACCTCTCAACGACGTAAATGACGAAGAGCATCGCCCATGTAACGGCAGTAGTGATTTTGATGTCAGTTACGATGACTGGCAGATAGAAACCACGCGAGAATTGGAGGAAAATAATGAAGTAGAATTTAACACGCCCCGAAAATTTTTTAGCTGTACCATCTGTCGTAAACAGTTCCTCTACCAGGAGTCTTTTCAGAAACACATGAAAGGCCATTTAGAAAAAAGTGATTTCAGCTTCAATGTTACTGAGAAGGGTTGCATTGTAAAGCCAAATTTAGATTCGGAGACGATCGATTCGGAGAAAGCGTTTGGTTGCGATGTTTGTGGCAAAACTTTCCACCAAAGGTCGTATCTCTATAGACACAAGCGAACCCACACAGGAGAGAAAGCTTTTAGCTGCGATATATGCGGTAAAGCATACATTGATAAGTCAACCCTTAGCAAACACATGAGCATCCACAGTGGAGAGAAAGCGTTTGGTTGTGATGTTTGTGGTAAAACATTCATCCAAAAGTCCAATCTTTACAAACACAAGAGAATTCATACAGGAGAGAAACCGTTCAGCTGTGATGTTTGTGGTAAAGCATTTATATACAAGTCTATCCTCAACGGCCATATGTTGGTCCACACAAGAGAGAAAACATTCAGCTGTGATGTGTGTGGTATAACATTCACGGAAAAGTCCAATCTCCATAAACACAAGAGAATCCACACCGTAGAGAAGTCATTCAACTGCGACATCTGCGGGAAATCGTTCATCAGCAAGTCGACCTTGAACAGACATGTGGGGATTCACGCGGTGGACAAACCATTCAGCTGTTTGGTCTGTGGTAAGACATTCCACCAAAAGGTAGTTCTCAATAGGCACATGGGAATCCACACGCTGGAAAAATCCCTCGAGTGTGACGTCTGTGGCAAAATGTTCAAACAAAAGGCGCACCTTGCTACACACAAACGAATCCACACGGGAGAGAAACCATTTATCTGCGAAGTGTGCGGGAAGGCGTTCAACCGAAAGGAGAGGCTTTGCTCGCACAACAGAATCCACACAGGAGAAAAACCATTTGGTTGCGATTTTTGCGGTACCATGTTCAACGACAGCTCAACCCTTAGGAAACACATGAGGATTCACACTGGAGAGAAGCCCTTTAGCTGTGATGTTTGCGGTAAAAGGTTTCGATTCAGATCTAATGTCAAAAAGCACATGAATACCCACACGGAATAGAAAATCAATGTTGTGGGAAAGGATCTGCTTTACTCATAAGCATCAAAACTTGTCGCCGTTGTACAATTCAGCTATTTGGGATTAGAAATGTGGAATTTAAGGTGCAAACTAAATATTTCCTTTTGTAAGACCACATTTAGATGAGTAATGTCGAGGGAAAAGTCCCACACTTCGACGAGACCGCATAGAAACCTTGAATCAGCTGTAGTCGTCATGCCAGGCCACAATGTGGCGCTGTGATTTTAGCATGTCGTCAAAACACGCGCACACACACACACACACACACACACACACACACACACACACACACACACGCTTTTGACACCTCATTACCTTCTACCTCATTTAGAAAACAGTGACCCATCTCCGATAAACCAAGTGCTCATGTATCACATATTTAATCCATATCAGAAGTTGCCTTAAGCTGAAAAGGCTAGGTAGCGCAAGTTCCCCTCTGACACCTGGTTTAAAAAACTGCCGATGTCAGAGACTCCGATCACTGGAGTTGTGTAAACTTGCAGCTGGATTGCCACAAAAATGTTGCAGTTTCACTGAAAACTAGCTCTGTGGAAACAAAGCTTCAGATATGGAAAGACAGATGAGCCTCGCTGTTGAGTTGTGTTCATACTGCAGAGAAATGCACCTACTTATACAGTTTTATGTCATCAGCTCATGTATGGTGAGAAATGTTTATGTACACGATAATTCTCAGCTAGGGTTTAACCTCAAATATGGCGGTCCAGATTAACCGCTCAGCGACAAACTCATATTGTACAAATGAAATTATTAACAATACTTAATGTAGGATAACACTAAGTATGACAAATTTAATGGTTAAATTTTTGTAAATTCTTAGTGTTAGTAGTTAGTGTATGTCAGTAAGACATTTCTAGTTATGAGGACTATAAATTACACATAATATATTATCAGTCCTTTTTATGATTTTTCAAAATGTTGTACAGAAATGTTTACTCTAGAAACTGAATGGTTTCATTACAAATTCACATTTCTGTTCTGGAAATGTTTAATTGTACTTAAATATTACCTGGATTCTTATAGTTTCTTTTATTTAGGCTACAGTTTTGTATATACGTTTGCCTTAATGTTTATTTTAATCGATTTGCACAGTATTTATCAATGCATTGTTTTACTTTTCTTATTTGTTAAAAAAGAACATAAAGTACTAAAGTGAAGCTCTTTACAGTTAATACAAGTAGAAGTACAGGGAAGATTATAGGAAGTACATGTCGGAGTTGTATAGGTCTCCTGCCACAAAACAAAACAAACAACAACAAAAAAAACGAACATTCTTCCACCACTGCACATTCAATCCTGTATGATTGACTGGAGACCAAAACAGTAAACTTATTAATGTGTATTTATTTTCTCATCCCACACTGGAGACTGGAATGCTCTGGGTTTCTAACTTAGGCCTCTTCTATACAAACTCTTCACTAATTGTGCCGCCACACATATGAAATGCTTATGCAGCACTATGATGATTTTCTTGATCACTGCTGGTGAAAAGGCAGCTTACAAGAGACAAATAACAATTATGTCTTTGTGATGCTAAAACAACCCCAAATAATAATAATAATAATAATAATAATAATGATGTGTTTATGGCCATGAGGAAATGTAAGACTGCAAATCATGTCATACTGTTCTATTTATGTTTCTTTATTTTGTCTTCATTGTTGCCTTCACACCATATATGTTTCCTATTACCTCTGGTATATCTGTATTTACAATGTGATTTTTTTTAGAACAGAGGTCAAAGAAGAAATTCCACGCCTTGTTTATGAGTCTTAGCAATAAATACCTTTAAATTTTAATTTATGAAATAGCTGCATGCTTTGATTCTATGTTAACCTCAATAGTACTGTTCTGTTTCACCATCACTTACGCAATTGTAAAGGAAAACAATAAAAAGAATTTGGTCACGAGAGTTGTGTTGTGATGTAAGATGGAAACAGCAGCAGGTGAGGTAAATCTAAAAGCCTGGGAATTATCTCTGTTAGTCACGGGAATCAAAATATAGCATCTCGCGCACATATTGTTATATGTTTTAATCTTGTGGCTGGTTCTTTAATGGTTTGAGAACCACTGATGTAGTGTTTTGTGTGTGTAAATATCTTATTCCTTTATTATACTCTGTTCCAGCTCCTAAAAACACAAAGAAAAGCAGCCAAAAATGTTATTTATTTCAGTAATTAAATTAAAAGTGTACACACAGACTGTGTAATTTCCTGCTTGGATTTTTGTTACTTTTCACATCATGTCTTGCGTTGACTGAAAACACAAAAGGTCAGTTTTGCAGAAAATTAAAAGCTACATGAATCCCATTTTCTACAATTAAAACATTAATTTTAATCGTTAAAAAAGTAATAAAATTAATGTGGAAGGTTGCTGACTTGACACAGTGAACAAAATAAACACCCTCCACCAAGGTGTCAAAAATTTAGGTAGATCAGTATTAAAAATTAAAATCAGTTTATTTATTAATAAAACAGCAACACAGTACAGTATTTATTTGAAAAGCACTTTTAAAGAACACCTCTGTTCCATCAGCAGACAAATATGCATAAAATACAAAAAATACACGTAAAACTAAATATGCAATTTATTTAAGAACCATACTTGACTTTTGCAAAGAAAGCCAAGTAAGCTATAAAATTCTGTTTTATGTTGTATGAGTATAACACTATTATAACAGTAGCAGTACTTCCCCCCCCCCTTTCAGTTTCATATTTATTAATCATCACGTAATCATCAGAGTCTGTGTTACATTACATATTTTTAAAACAGATCCTTACATACATGCTTATGTCTCAGTAAGATCGAAAAGATACAGTCTGAAAAATAAAAGTGGAATAACTAAAATTAAAAATATATTCTTTGAGACTGTGGCAGTGAAGGCTTTTACTTCAGTCGAAAATGCAAATGTATTACTTTGAATTTCTTATATTCCTTCCTTTTCATTTTTCTTCCTGTAAGAATCGAATTATAAGACTAAACAGGTATTTTACAAAGAGAGCAACACGCTCTTTCACAAATTGCAGAACTTTAGTTGCTATGTAATGTACTCGAGAATCGGTGAGGCGAAACGTGACATCACGGTGACGGCCCTAACAACGCCACAGACCATTGCAATAGACATTTGTTAGCAGTCACGCATTGCTGCTGCCCCTCAATGCCAGATTGATAGTACATTTAACGTTTTCTGAGGAACGGCAGAAAAAGAGGAATTCTTTCAACGTTGCCATGGCGCCCAGTAAAGGAAAGAAGAAAAAAGGTCTGAAAAATTTGAAAGACAACATACTTATCTTTGAAGAAGAAAAGAAGAAGATGGCCAAAATGTATGAAACTAGCACTAAACTTTGGGAGATGAAGCTGAAGAGAGCTGAGAAGGAGTTAGCCTACCACCGGAAGGAACTGTACAAGAGGGCCAGCGATACTGAGCAAGTAAAAGGCTCCCTATTCATGGTGGAGAAGAGCAATATTGGCATCACCGATTATTGGCTAAAAGAATTAAAAGATAAAGATGAGAAGCTCAAAGTGCTGGGGGAAAAGATCAAAAAGCAAGAAGAGACCGCAGCACAGCGGAAACTTGAGGTGGAAAAGCAAAGGAAGCGAGATTTGGAAAAGTTTGAGGAAGACATTTTAAAAAGGAAAGCCACCGAGGCTCGGGTACAGAAGAAAATTATTAACATTAGAAAGCAAATGCAAGTGTCTAAAGAAGAATACAGAGAAAACCTAAAAATAAGAGACGAAAAATATTCAGTCTTACTGAAGGAATCAAGGGAGAAAGAATGGAACTTCATATGCAAAGAAAGGGAGATGGATCAGTTGAAGGCTGAGCAAGAAAACACCATTGTCAAGTTGGAAATTGAACTGAGCAATGTTAATAGGGAGAAAACGTGGCTAATTAAAAACCTAAAATTTGCCTTGATTAATTTAGATGAGCTGAAGCAAATGGCTCAAAGACTGTCTAAGGAAAAACTCTCACTGGCAGTGGACAGAAACTTTCTGGTATCAACATTACAGACGAACATTTGTGAGCTGGAGTGTAAAGAAGAGATGATTGCTGAAGTCACAGCCAGAGCTGCCTGTCTGGAGCATTCCCTCAAGCACATGAGGGAAGAAACTACAGAGAATGAGAAAAGAAACCAAATGACCATCCAGGCCAGTCAGGTGGAGTTGGACAAACTACAGAAAATTATCGCCATGCGAGAGAAGGAGCTCTGTCAAGTGAAGAAGCTGGCGAGGACCATTGTGGAGAAACGCAAAGACATGGAGGTGTTTTTCCACGAAGCCCTGGATAATGTCCGACAGGAGATAGCTGAGGAAAGAAAGAGGAAGGTAAAGGAGGCAAATCAAGACTGTCAGAAATTTAGAGACGGAACAGAAGGAAAGGGAAAGTTCCCCCTCATCCACACCGTTGATCAAAGTCCCAACAGCACCAATTCTGTCTACTCAGACATGAAGGCGCCTGGAAATTGGCCCCATTGCCCTGGCAAAGAGGTTTACATGTCTGATCTCACTTGGGAGCAAAAAGAAAAAGTGCTCACTCTTCTCTTTGCTAAAATGAACGGAAATGCAGAACGTGCATCAAAATCGAGTATGACGAGGCTCGACTATGATTTCCAAAGTGGAGGCTTGCTTCACTGCCGTGGTCTACAAGAAGGATTTATGAAAGTTCTGTAGGACGCAGAGCCGCCGAGTGCTGTCAACAGTTTCATCAATAAATATATGCATTGAAAAAATACTTGTGTAATTATTCCTGCTCTTAGGAATGGACAATAACTATGTCATTTATTAATATTAGGAAAGGAGAAATACAGAAATTATAAGAATTGTGATTTATCATAGTGAGGAACTAATGTTTGCAAACCAATAAATTTTTTTTTTTAAATTGTAGGGTTTTATGGAGCCCCCTACTGCGTTCCCTGACAAAAAACAATAATCATTGTGTTCCCGAACAGTAAAAGTTGCTTTCTGTCGCAATAAATTTTTTGTTTCAATAGATTTGCATCACCTCGGAATAAAATGTTGTGTTCCCTCACAACAGCCTTTGCGTTCTCGCGCAATTAATGTTGCGTTCTTTCGGAATTAATGTTGCGTTCTCTCGCAATAAATTTTTTGTTCTCCCGCAATAGACTTTGTGTGTCTTCACAATAAAACGTTGTTCTATCCTTTCTATCCCAATAGGCTTTGCATTCTCTCGCAATAAATTTTGTGTTCCCTTGCAATTAATGAGTTGGTATTGAAGTCAAGCATGATGAAGCAGAAAGACCTTTAAAAGTTCCAGAATACCAGCCTTTATACACATCTACTTATATATGAATATGAATATATATATGGGGGTTGTGGAGGGGCCGGGGGTGGTTTAAGTGTGAATGTATAAAAGTTTAGTTTTATTTTGGTAAACATTGTGACTTTCAAAAGGGAAAGTCATTGTTGCAGGCTAGTTTTGTGTCATACCACCTTCACTTATGTAGTACCAACCATAGATGAAACACAGTGCACCACATGGCTGCAAACAAAAACATATATTAAAAAAATATATGTTTTATATAAGACCTGCAAAATTTCAACACTAATATTAATAATAAAAAAAAGGCTCAAACTAAGTCTCCCTGAGGTTAAAAGCCAAAGAATAAAAATGGCTTTTACTGGAATAAAAGAGTATTAGGATGTTATTAACAAAAATGTTGAAAAAAAGCAAAGAGATTTAAAATAAACAAACAATAGGGTGCCACATGGCTCCTATTGTGACGCCCTTTGCAGAGGGTGTTTTGAGTGTAGGGTGCACCCTGTAAGGTGCAAAGGTAAACTCTCACTGGCGGTGGACCCTTTGCACTTTTGCAAAGGGTGCACTCAAAAACGCAGTTGTCCCCGATTTGACTCCCGACCCCGAGCCACTTAATGCCCTGCCTATTTTTATTTTATTTGTTTATTTAAAAAATAAAAGCGCAAGAACTATAATTAAAAATGTATTAATGACAGTGGCAGTGATCCGGGGAAGGCTTTTACTTTCATTATTTGCAGGGGGAAAAAAAATTCTAATTAGTTCTCTTTTTTTTCATTTTTTTTTCTTGAATGTTTGCAAGCATTGATCTAATAAGATTGCCAGTAATTTTTACAAAAAACTAACTTCAGAGGTTGCAGAACTTTAGTTGCTATGTAACACGATCTGAGTGAATTTGCAGCGTGACCTCACAGGTAAGGTGAAGCATGTGACATCACGGTGATGTCCCTAATGACTTCCCAGATAATTGCATGTCGGTATCCTGACTTCAGCATACATTTATCTTACAGGTAGACATTGGTTTACCAGTTACAGTGCTACTGTGCACTATCGCAGTAATACATTTAACTTTTTCTTAATAACAGCAGGAATAGGTGAATTCTTTCAGATCTGTCATGGAGACCAAAACAGCAAGCCAGGGAATGGACAAAAATCCGAAAAAAAAGGATCATAAAATCAAAGTAGATGAAGTCACCTCTCGTAGGGAGATGAAGCTAAAGGCAACAGAGAAGGATTTAGCATACCACCAGAAGGAACACTACAAACTGGCTTCCGAGACTGAGGAACTAAGACATCTCCTATACCAGGCGGAGATTAACGAATTTGGGACCACTGATTATTGGCAGAAAGATTTAAAAGTTAAAGGGGAAAAGATCAAAAGCCTGGAGGAACAGATCAAAAGTCTAGAAGAGCTTGCAATTGAAGAACGTCGTGAGTGGGAAAATGAAAAGAAGCAAACCTTCAAAGAGTTTGAGGAAGAAATTTTAAAAAGAAAGGCCATCGAGATTCGGATAAAGAGAAAGATAGCTAACATGAGGAAGCAATTACAAGTATCTAAGGAAGAATACAGAGAAAACCTAAGAAAAAAAGATGAGGAATATGTACGCTTAGAAAGCGAAACAGCAGAGAGGGAAAGGAACTACATACGTAACCAAGAGGAGATGAGTAAGCTGATGCTTGATCTCAAAAACACCATTGTCGAGTCGGAAAACGAATTGAAAGATGTTCACAGGAAGAATAACTGGCTAAGTAAAAGCCTCACATGTACCTTGGCTAATTTAGAAGATGCGAGGCAACTGGCTCAATCAATGTCTAAGGACAAACTCTCACTGGCGGTGGACAAAAAACTTCTGAAGACAGCATTAAAGAAGAATGGTTCTGACATTGTGCGTCTACAAAAATTACTTACTGAAGTCACGGCCGAAGCTGCTTATCTGGAACAAGCCTTCCTGGATTTGGAGAAAGAATCTACAGAGAATGAGAAAAGAAACCAAGTCACCATCCAGGCCAGTCAGGTGGAGTTGGACAAACTACAGAAAATTATCGCCATGCGAGAGAAGGAGCTCTCTCAAGTGAAGAAGCTGGCGAGGACCATTGTGGAGAAACGCAAAGACATGGAGGTGTTTTTCTACGAAGCCCTGGATAATGTCCGACAGGAGATAGCTGAGGAAAGAAAGAGGAAGGTAAAGGAGGCAAATCAAGACTGTCAGAAATTTAGAGATGGCGTGGCGGGGAGGTTAAAGCTCCCCCCAATCCACACCTTCCATCAGTGTCCCAAAAGCACCAAATCCGTGTATTCAGACATGAAGGCAGCAGAAAAATTGCCCCATCTCCCCAGCAAGGAGGTTTACATATCTGATCTCACTTGGGAGCAAAAAGAAAAAGTGCTCACTCTTCTCTTTGCTAAAATGAACGGGAATGAAGAACATGTGATCTACCAGAAGATGGATTTGTGAGAGTCCTGCAGGAAGAAGAGCAGTGTGCTGACACCAAACCTGCCGAATGCAATTGAAAATTTAAACAATAAAAATGTGCATCAGAGTGACCTTCTTCAATGATTTATGTTGTTCGGGATCGTTATCATTTATCATCAAGAAATGGAAAAAAAAAAAAAAAAATTCTATATAATTCTAATAGGATTAATTTATCACCATAGTGATAAATTAAAGCTTCCCTTGCAATAAATGATGCGCTTCCTTGCAATATTTTTTTTTTATTCCATTGCAATAGTTTTGCTTTCCCTTAGTAAATGTTGGTCTTAATAATGTTTTTTTTTTTATTGCAACAAGTTTTTCATTCTCTTGCAATAAATGTTGCAATCTCTCGCAATAAATTTTTGGTTCCCTTGCAATAGGTTTTGGATTCCTTATCTCAATAATTTTCTTGTTCCCTCGCAATAGCCTTTGTGCTCTTTTGCAATAAATGTTGTGATCTCGCAATAATGTTTTTAGACCCTTGCAGTAGGTTTTGTGTTCCCTCTTACAGTAATTTTCGTGTTCACACCACATGACCTGTTTCACATGAAAATGGGTCCTTTTTCCAACCAGAGTGGTTAAATAATTATATTGTGAGGATATGCAAAAGAAAAAGTTCCCCCATGTCTCTGTTTTAGTTAAACAATGCTTTGGTGATTCTATGAGAACAACAAGATTGAATGCCAGTACTTTTAGAATAACATAAAAATTGCTTAATGGGTGCAGGTATCAAAAACCAAATTTTCAAATAAAGTTCACAATAGTAGTGACACTTTGGTTTAATAAAGTGTGTGATCTTGTGAAGGGTAGTTAAACCATACCACAAAACATTTAAAACACTAATAATAATAATTTTAAAAAGCGGTTCAAATTAACTCTCTTAGGTTAACAGATGACGTATAAAAATTGGTTTTAAGATTAGTTTTAATAGCAGGGCGTGTAATAGCCTTGCAAGGTGAAACAGCACCCTCTGTAGAGAAAAACAGTTTTCTTATACAAGGAAGGTAAATTTTTTCATTGTCATACAAAATTAAAATTATTACTGTAAGCATAGTATGGATAAATCACTTAAAAATTAGAAAAGACTATTCATGTAATAAATAAAAGCTTCTTTTCTGGTTCAATCTTTAACTCTTATGGGTTGAATGCAAGTAAAACGATGTAAAAAAAAAAACATCTTAAGAGAAAACAAATAAAGGTTTGAAAAGATGTAGTAATGTACTAATGTATTGGCAGAAAAAATAGAAATAGAAAGCAACATTCATTTTATGTTGTATTTATTTTGTTGTAATTTTTTTTTAGTGAAATAAAGTTTATTAAAAAAAACAAACAAACAAACAAAAAAACCCGGCACAGTAGGAGAAGCAAATTTTCCGAGTGACCCAAAACGCAGCATCAGCTGTGGTCATGAGAACCAGATGGAGGCTGGGCCACAGGATGTCAGGCAGGCGGCTCCGCTGTCTGCTGCCTGACAACACCATGACGGTCATACGCACGCTGCAGAGCGCTGTTAAATTATTGTGACACTTGCCCGCTGGTTTAGGGAGCTTCATAACGGTACCGGACAGGTGAAGTTTGCCTTGAGTGGAGTCGGATAGCTTCGCCTGTGGCTTAGAAACGCTGTAAGCTAAATTAAGTTTAATAAGCTAACGTTCTAGTCAGCTCTGACCCAGCAGCTAGCAGTGCTGGCTACAAGTGCCGACCGACACCGCCGCCGCTTTTCTCCTGCTGCTTTTATATGGTCAAAATTAGCTCTGCAGAGAGACATGCCGTTCTTCTTCGCTCGTTAATAAAAAGTGACCCGCAGATGATCCCAGCTAACTCGCGTTGCTGCTTTTCCCACGGATGTAGGTAACGAAAATTTATAGCGTTAATATATTTTTTTTTTTTTTTTTTTTTTTTTTTTGTGGTCGGTCAAGATAGCAATGCGGGCCACATTGTTTCTGATCGGCTCCCCGGTTTCGGATTACTGCGCTCCGCGGAACTGCAGCGGCGTGAGTTATCGCGTTTCCCATAATGAGTGATCATTATGGAGATGTCAAGGTTCAGCTCGGGCAGATGAAATCACTGGGCGAGGATGCAGAGAAGGAGGAAGTGGATCCCGAGGAAGAGATGCCCGTGTCTTCTCCCTCCGCCTCACCAGATCCCGCCGGCTGCTGCATCACCACCGCCCCGGGGACGGATGCACTGTCCACCAATATTTGCAAGCAGAAGGGGAAAAGAAGCCGCAAGAATCCTTGCGGGAAGCCCTTGCAGGGATTTCCAGCTCACGCTGTGAAAAACATCAACAGTCCTATCTGTGAGCAAACCCTCCTCATCAAGGGGACGGGGAAGATCCTGCAAGGCAAGTCAGCAGAGAGTAACGGGAACTACGTAGCCGTCCACGAATCCAGCGACACACAGGAAACACGCTGCGAGGATGAATTCAAGCTCCCCAGAAAGAGGAGGCCTGTGACGGTGGACACATCTAAAGCCAAAACCTCCCTGGAAGCCTTGAAGCTGAGCATCAAGGAGCTACAGTGGAAAGAGGTGCGCTATTTGAAACTATTTCATTTCTTTTCTCTGCTGTTGTTGGTGTTGTATTTTTGTCCAAGCAGAAACTTATGAATAAATGGTTTAGGGAAGAAGCTGAGGATGATTTGATCCTGGGGAGAACTGTGTCATCAGCTTCTGTCTCAATTGGATTACAACCAGCTTAGGTGTTTGTCTTCATAAGCCACTTTTATTCATGTTTTTTTTTTTCCCCCCCTCAGAGTGAAGCTTCAAAGCCAGTCGTGTCGACTCATTTGTCTACATTGGCTTAATGAATTAAAGAACAAAATGATGGCTAATTGTTTTTTTTTTTCTTTTTGGAAGGGGATGTGTGTTTTTTTTTTCTTTGTTGCAGCTCATCATATTCAAAGTGTATTTACTTTACCTAAACTTTTTCAACTTCATTTTATTTTATTTAGAGACAGACCTGCACAAAGTATTTTTTTTGCTTGTCTGGCTGAGCCAGATCACATTCTCAACATGTTTACTGTTTCCTCTACATGGCTTATACACCAGGGCTTCTTCTGCATTTTTCAAATAGACATTTTCCTTGAAGATTTGAGGAGGCAACTAGATGGTTTTATTTTAATGCTATTTTTAAAGTTGTGCTGCATAATTTTACCTCTGACTTTGTTTTTTGTGATGCTGTTTGTTCTCTGATAATCTGCATCAAACCTCTGAGTTCTTCACAGAATAGCTGGAATTATTCAGAAATGTATAAAAGTGACATTTTGTTTTATTTAGAGGTACTCAAGGTCATTTGGCTGGCTACACATGAACAATGTGACTTTCAGATGAAACCCAGTCCCATTTATACACAACCTACTGTTCTATCATGTGAATCTGAATATATGGATGTAAAATAAAAGCAGTTTAGGAGTTAGATACCTTGTAGTTTCATCTCCAGCCTCCACTATAATGTCCTTACTTGAAGTCATGGACTCAAGATGAAGATTGCAGATAAATAATTTGGTATAAAAATATCTGCTTTACTCCAGCAATTCTTTCTTTTCTTTTCTTTTTTTCAAAGGGACAGCACTGCTAATCCACCAACTTTGCTTTTGTTGCTGTTTTTTTAAATCTCTATCTGAAAGACACAATACTGCATGAAATATTGTAGCAATATTTCAACACTTCAGAATTTAAGCACTACCAAGTATTGTCATGTCAGCAAAATCTAAAAACATGAGTATAAAAATAACAATTTATCAATTAAATGTCAAGTTGCAGTGACTGAAACCTCCATGCTTTAAGTCATTAAAATTAGATCATTGACTCGGATGAAATAATGACGATTTTATTTCACCTGTGTTACAGCATGTAAACCTAAAGAGCAACAAATGAGACAAAAAAAAACTTTCTGAGGTCACTTTTTTTTATTTACTCATTTCTGTTTGTCCTGAGTTGTTTTGAGAGTTTATCTTTCTTAAAGTGCCAACTCAAAGCTGTTATGAACACCGCCTCCGTTATGCATGGAAAGAATGTCGCCTCAATGAGACGGGGAAGCACAGGGCGCACTTATCACCAGTAACCAGTCTGTGACACTTGAACCCTGCTACTGGTATCCATAACGATGGACATATGGCAATACTTAGTCAGCACAAAGCACCCCCAGCAGAGTCGACGTCTCCATGGAGCTGCCGTCGCCGTGAAAGCCTTTGTCATCATACATTGAAGGGGCCGAAACTTTAGCAGCTCGGCTCTGCTAGCCCACTTATGAAGTGGACGAGTTCCCTTCAGCCGGTGGTAAAATATTCAGGATCTACATTGACGGCAACACAACTGAATGCAAAAGTGTAAGTTGGAGAGTTGAAACAGCTGACTCTACATCTGCTAGCTGACTTTCCACTTATGGCTTTCTCCGCCACAGGAAGAAATCACTAGCCTTAAGCTCCCTTAATCCAATAAAGTGAGTCCTCTCCGAGGTAGAGATAACGGCCACCCGAGGGTCCGAGTGACGGATCACGGAAATGCTTCATATTTTCATCTGTTGTCAAGTGTTAGAAACTAGTCGGGCATTTTTACACACATTTGATTTAAAGTTGTCATAACATCTTGAAGTCTGGTTGGAAAATAACCTGAATATCGAAAAGGGCTACTTCTGATTCCTGCAGGCAAGAGAAAACTGAATTGTCTACCAAAGGACACCGAAAGATTTTAGCAACAAAGCAACTTTTCAAAAAGACAGCTGTGTCTGGATGTAATCCCCAGAAACTACTCAAAATAATCTCCCCTCCCTTGTCCCCTTTGCACACTTGCGTGTAGCTGTATTTATAGCAGGTCTTTGCAGTCAGCCAGGGTTTCCCTTTTACACAGTGTCACGCTAACACATTAACAAGACGCAACTCTGGCACAGGTTTATCTGTCCTATGGCCAACTGCAGGAGGGGAGGAGGGTAAATTGTTTAAGATGCCGACACCCTTAAGTTGTAGACTTGGAGTGGCACGGGAGAGTTAGAATCCCTCATGTCTCCCTTTACAAACTGAGCAGGGTTTTGACCCATTACTCCAATGGAGCTTGGATGTTCTGCAGAAACCAAAGTGGACTCCAGGGAAAAAACAAAACAAACCTTGCTACTTCTCTTAAGCAGCATTGCTTTGTATTTGAAACGTGTGCGGTACATCATTCGGACCATCATCTTGATTCTGTGGTCAAGATGACCACAGAATCATATTTTCAGACAGTTCACATTTTCCAAACTATTTTTTTAACCGGTTTTCTTTTCATTGTATAAATGTAATAATTCCTTCTTCTCACCGCTTTGCTTTTCCTCTCCTCAGTTTCACACGGGAAGACGTGCAGCATGTGACATCTACTGGCACGGTGTTTCCTTCCACGACAATGAAAATATTGTGTCAGGACAAGTCAACAAGTTCCCAGGTATTTAAATGTACTTCTCTAATCTACAATCAGCCTATAACTCATTATATGTATTTGTAGTTTCAGCTGGGTTTGTGTAAATGAAGTAACTCTACCTTGTTTCATCTAGTTGGATCATTAGTCTTGGCAAGCACATCACTTAGACCAATATTTTAACGCTTTGGAGTTTAAGCACCACCAAATATTCCCTTATCACAAACATTTCAAAACATGGATATAGAAATAAATCAAACTCTAAATAAATCATATCTATATGCCTCTAGTTTGTAGAGCCAGAAAAGGCAATGAAATGCAAAAGCTGCAACAACAAAAACAATGACAAAAAGCCACAATGGAAGTTATGACAGGAAGTTTTTATATCTTTATCTTTTGCTGTTGTTTGGGGGGGGAGGAGGAGTGGGTTGCATTTCAATGACGCATCTGGGCCACCGTAAGCTTGTGCTTAGTTTAGTCCTTACACCTGACTTTTGCTGAAACATTTAATTAGAATATCAAGGTTATTTTTATTTTATTTTTATTTATTTATTTTTTTTTTTAATTGGCGATTGATTTCTTCCTCTTTCCCTTGAGATCATGCAGGATTGTCTGTAAATGGTGTCTTTGCAGGGATGGTGGAGATGCTGAGGAAGATCAACCTGAGCAGAGCGGTTCGGACCATGCAAGAGCTTTTCCCAGAAGAGTACGACTTCTATCCGCGCTCCTGGATCCTGCCTGAAGAGTACCAGCAGTTTTCCACAGAGGTACTGTTGCAGCACCTCATGTAATAAAAACGTGCAGGGCCTCCCAAAGGTGTATAGACTGGTAATATGTAATTATGCATATGTTATTAACTAAAAACCAAAAAACAATTTGATTGTGTAAATGTTCCATTTTTTCAGCTGATACTCAGTTCCAAGTCATTTGTGGCCTAAAAAGTTATCTGCGGGAGTTAAAAGCAGAAAATAAATTGAGATTTTATTTTTCGGCATCATAGAGAATTCAGGCAAAAAAAAAAAAATCCAAATCAACAAAATAAAGTTTTCATGAGCTGAAAATGAAAGTTCTGGAATGGCCAAGTCAAGATGGTGGCGATCATCAACTCCTTCCGAAGAAGACTGAATGCTGAATCAATAGACGCGTCTGTAAAGTTTAAAGTGTTGCCACACCTGCAGGTGAGTTATTGCTCATTTTTAGCTTTGTTTCATGGTTTTCATTTGACTTCTTATGGATTAAAAAAAAAAAAGTCTCAGTATGTGAAAAAAGCTGTGAAGTGATTTCTGATCTCCCTCTGTGATCTGGCATTTTAACAGAGTGTGTTCGCTACTAAGAGCCGCTGTTGTTTATTCTGTCATCACTCTAGCCGGCACTGGACATGATGCCAGCTAGTTATCAACATTTATCAACACTGCCCTGCCAACACTTATCTCTGCACTGCCAACAGTTATCAACATTTATAGTCAGTCTAACTAAATGCCGAATTAAAATCGCACACTAGTCATATCCTGTGCTATAAAATCCAGCTGCAGACACTGAGACACAGGGTGATGCTCATATTTAGAATTACTCGTTTGTCTTCACGATGTTTTTTTATTCCTAATTGTTTTCTGATTTATAATCATTTGTAATAACATAAAAGCTTCATTTTCCTAGCCATTTTTAAGTAAACGTTTGGCAGAGAGGAAGGAAATAACAGACTTTGTACAGCAGGGGGCGCCACAACATCAATATATACATTCAGAGTCACTTCTCATCCTGCCTCCCTGCAGAGATCCAGAAACCTATTTACATCTATTACCGTTCATCTGAACCGCAGCAGCGTAGGATTACATAACATATCCTGGGATAATTAACACTGTGAACAATGCTGTCGACTTTTCTGGGCTTGCATGTTAATCCAGAGAAACCTCTGGACGATTTTGGTGCAGATCAAGCCTCTCTGGCTCTTGTCTATTATTAGTCCGGTGAGGAATGAGATTACACTAAGATTTGATTACAACATCCTGGTTTAGCTTGGCGTACTGGATGAAGTAGCGTGTGTTTTCTTTGGACCGTATCAGTTGTGAACTGTCGTTTCTGCCCCCCTTGCTCCTCTGCTGCAGATTCGTATGGTGAAGGAGAGCGACGCCACGGAGAGCCCGACTTTCATCGTCAAGCCCGACGGGGGATCGCAAGGGGACGGCATCTACCTCATCCGAGACCCCGGCGATCTGAAGCTGGTGGTGGGCGCGCAGGCCAAACAAGCGGTGGTGCAGGAGTACATCCACAAGCCGCTGCTCATCGACAAGCTCAAATTCGACATCCGCCTCTACGTGCTGATAAAGTCCGTGCAGCCGCTGGAGATCTACATCGCCAAAGAAGGCCTGACGCGCTTCTGCACCGAACCGTACCAGGTAGCGCTTAGGCCGCCGATAAACCCGACGGGCTTGTTTTGAGTTCGTTTATATGGAATTGCCGTTTTTTATTTTTTTTATTTTATTTTTGTCTTTGCAGGAGCCAAGCCAGAAGAACCTGAGCCGCGTCTTCATGCACCTGACCAACTACTCGCTCAACGTTCAAAGCGGCAACTACGTCCACTCAGACAGCCAGAACACAGGCAGCAAGCGGACGCTCTCCAGCGTGCTCTACAGGCTGGCAGCCAAGGGCGTGGACATCAAGCGGGTCTGGTCGGACATCATCGCCCTCGTCATCAAGTCCGTCATCGCCGTGCTACCGGACCTTAAAGTCCACTACCAAGCCGATATACCGCCTGCTAAGCCAGGGCCTACTTGTTTCCAGGTGGGTGTGACAGCGGAGCTGCAGGCCAGTGTGTTATTAACACGTTTGTTTGTTTGCCAGCCAGTCAAAGTGCTCAGGTTTTCTAACGCAATGTGGAAAATTTTGGAGCTAATAGTATTTTATTTCCTGGTTTTCCAGCTCTGGATAAGAATGGAAAAAAAGGAAGGAGATCGGGAACTATTTTTGCTTCTTCACTTAGTTTCATATTCTATTGTTGAGTCCTTCCTCCCTTTCTCATGTGCTTTCCTTTCTTCCTTTGTGTCCTTCGTTCTGTCTATTTCACCTCCCATTTCTTTTCTGATTGTATTTCTTCCTTATGCATTTCCTTCCTCCTCACGTTTCTTTCTTATTCAGTTTCCTTCCTTCCTTTCCCACCACAGATCTTCCTCATGTACTTCATTCTTTTTTTTGTCATGCCATTCATGTTGTCTTATGAACTTTCCTTCTTTCTTGATTTCCATATTTTTCTCCTATCTTTACTTATATTTGTCTTTCAGTTGCTTTGTTCTTCCTTCATCCCTTATTTCTTCTCGTCTTTCCTTCCTTTTGCTCTATTGCTCTACACATATATTTTATGAGATTCATGTGATTTGTTAAGAATCAGTTATAAAGTCTACCTTTATTAGAGGAGGAAGTGAAATTATCATATGAATACGTATTTGTAAAATTCTTTTTGCAGTTGAATGGTTGCAAGGAATGTAAAATATTGATTTTTATAATTTTTTAATAGTTTTTTTTTTTTTTGAAAACCTATTAACACCCCTCTATTTGCTGTTTTTTTTTTTTTTTTTCAATTTCACTAAAGTCACCCACATAACCTGTTTTCACCCCTGGGGGATCAGGTTGTTACAAATGACAAAAAAATAAAAATGAAAAACTAAACAAATTGAAGTTTTTTACGAACATGTTTACAGAAAAAAAACAGCCCTTCTGGGACGAACAAAGTTTTCAGTCTTCTTGAATGTGTGTTTCTAATCGCTGCTGTCCGTTTGTGTGTCAGATCCTCGGCTTCGACATCCTGCTGATGAAGAACCTGAAGCCGGTGTTACTAGAGGTCAACTCCAACCCCAGTATGAGAATAGAACATGAACAGGAAGTAAGACACTGGTTCCCATCAGCATCACCCCCCCACCACCACCTCTTGTATTAAGCGCATGTCTGTCTCAGGTGGCTCCGGGAGTTTTCGAGTACGTTCCCAGTCCAGTAGACGAGCAGGTGAAAGTGGGGGTGATCAGGGACACGCTGCGCCTCATGGACCCCTTCAACAAGAAACTGACAGCGTAAGTGCCGCACACCTCAGCGTAAACACCCCGTTTGAAGTCGGATGTTTGTCTCAGCACCCCCTCCCCGCGCCACCGCTCTCTGTCAGCATGCCCGCTTTAAGAACACGATATCTCACTCTGCCCACCCGCTCCTCCGAGCCGGGGCCCCGCACCACTCAGCGGCTCTCTCTAAGCTTGTTAAACAGAAAAAATTAAATCAACTGAGGCATGGAGGAAACTCACACATCACTGTGCCAATGTAGTGGCTCAATCTCTCTGCTCGACTGGGCCTGTGTGGTGCTTGGAAATAGATCTGCTTCTCAATTAGGGAGTGTCCTTTTCCTCCCCCCCACGCCATCATTCCATATTTCAATATGAAAAGCAGATTTATTCTTTCTGTCTGCTTTCAACTTATTTCCTCATCCTTTTCTGTTATTCTCATTCTGTTCCTTCTACTTTAAATTTTAGCTACCTTATCTTTAAATTAGCCTCATTATTTGATCTTTTCTTTGCATCCAGGAGCAGTGTCTGCTTGGGGATGATGCTCCCTTAACTTCCTGTTGAACTAATTTCTATCTCCACTCTATTAAACATTCTTTAATCTCTTGATCTAACGTCCATTATATGTTATAGGTTGGATAATCTCCCTCTGGGCCTCAGAGGGAGATTATTTAAAGCTTTACTTTTTCAGTCTTAAACTGAACATCTAGTTTTTTAAAGAACAGGGAAGCCATAATGATCTATTTCCTGATTTATAATGATTGAGTTGTCAAAAAAAAATTAACACTAGAAACGCAAAGGAATCTTGTGTTCAGAGGAGATGGTAGGAAAACGTTAAACGTGTTCATGGAAACCAAAAATATATCTTGGCAAATAAGTGCTTATCACCATTACTGTAATATTTATGAACCATTAATATTTAAATAGGTCTCTTGCTTCCTTTCTGCGTGTGCTTTGAATTGGCATGATCCAAACTTACACACACACACACACACACAAGATCGAAATGCTTCAGTAACACCAGAGAAGCAGCAATTATTGGACCTGCTGCTAAAGTGACATACAAAATGCCACTTTAGCAGCAAAAGCTGCCAAAGGTTTTGCTGCTAAGCTAACTGTTAAAACTGTTAGTTTTAATGGTAATTATTATAACAACTATTGTATATTGAGTTTGATATACTTTCTTTTTAGCAAAAAAGTCGAAAACAAACTTCCAGATTCTAATAGTATTAAACATAGTTAAGGCACACAATATTATTTCGCTGTTCTGCTTTTAATAGAAATTGTCACTTGACTGTGTTTTTTGCAAGCAGAAATATTTTCAAACAGATTCATTTGTCTTGAAATATATAAACAATGGACATCGGTTGAAGACTGCTTTACTTTTTCTTTTAAGCAGCTTGAGAAAACTCCTTAAATTTAAAGATGACATGATGACATTTATATTATTTATTTTTTGCTAAATATACCTTTATACTGACCTATAACCAGATTAGATGTGCAGATTACCTTAAGAGTTTTGGACTTTTGGAAACAATTCAGGGAGTCAGGAGAATGCAGAAGCAAACACACAGAGATGATGCAAAGCTATGGAAAATCAAGCCTTGTGTTTGTTTTTAATTCCCTGTTGTCGACCTCAGGATGAGGTTGAGTCGCTCTAAACAATTTAGCTTTCACCAAGAGTCGCTTAAACAAGCCCACCTCAGGAAAGTGGCTGAATAATATTTACTAGAGGTTCACCAGTCAGTCGGTCTGAAATCCGATTTGGCAGATTTTTTCCCTTGATTGGTTCAGATCCAAGATCAGGAGGCTGACGTTGTTTTTGTTTGTTTGTTTATTCCTCAAGACTTTACCACATTTTTGGTTTTTGTTGGTGTATTTTCTTTAAAAACCAGATAAGTTAAAACATATTCCTCGAAGCATGCATGGTGATAATCTTGCAATTCCTTTACTTTTTGTTGGATCCACATCTACGTCCTCCTTTCTACATCCCGTTTTTCCTCCTCTATGCGTTATACTACTTTTGATTAAAAAAAAATATTTCTGCAAATTCAGTTCATTAATGTTGTATCGATCAAGTTAATGCTCATGTTTTTTAAATTTTCTATTGGGTCAGAAAAAGCCAAAGATTCACACCTAATTATTCAGATCAGAGTTTTCAGTCAAGCAACTTCAAGTGATATTTGGTAAAAAGTTGAATCTAATGGAGGAGTTGAGAGGAAAAGGTGACATGATTTAAATATTAGAACAAAGATATAAATCAACCATTTAAAAGTAAGAGGAGAAATTGACTTTTATATTAGAAACTCGTTGAGCAGTCGGATAAAAAGTGACAGTGTAATGTGAAATTAGACTTCTCTGACTGAGAGGAGCAAACCTTTTTATGATTAGAAAAGAAATACCTGAATGGCTTTATTAAGAATTTCAATTCATGTAAAAAGATAGAAAAGATATGGACTTGAAAGATTTTTTAAAGCCACTTCAGACTAATTGGGTATTTCACAAGCAGCCTACAGACGCGATGTCAAAAAAAACAAAAAAACAAAAAAGAAAGCACAAGGATAACACCCAGGTGTAGGTGGAATGAATGAAACTCAGTCATTTAGAAGAGATTTATTCAAAGTTTACGCATGTTGGGATTTTACTTCTCAAGATGAAGAGAAGCGAAGGGAAAGCCTGACGCAGCATGGGCAAAAGTCGGTCGGACGATACCACACTACTGTTTTATAAGAAAAATATTCAAACCCGAAAGATGGAACAAAAGGGGAAAGGGGGAGGAAGAAGTGCCACTTTGAAGGGAGAAGAGATAAACGAGGAATTATATACGCGAGTTTGTGACAGTATCAGTGACTCTCAGATATGTAGCGTGCACCCAGCTCATTAATCCTGAGTATTCTGTCTTTGGAAGTGATTTATGAGCCATCATGTGAGGTGAAAAGCTTATATTCACAGGCATGAGGCGCTAAAATATCCCATTATAAAGGTATCATCCGCATAAGGGGAAATGAGGCAAACTAAATACAGAGCATAGTTATGAAGTTCTGTTTTTTTTGTGTTTTTTTTCTCTTAGTGCCTTTCTGAAGGTATTCATACACTTTGTACTTAGGCACACAGGTTAAAACCAAACACATCAACTTTAATGTTTTGAGGATCTTATGTGCCTTGCTACATATGTTTATTTGGGTTTAAGCCTTGATTTGACTGGGCCATCCTGACACTTGGTTATATTTTGTCACAAAGCGTTCTATTGTAGCTTGTTGTCATGTTAGAACTAGTTTAACGTCCAAAACGTAATAACTGTCTTTGCCTGTTTCTAGCTCTCCTTCCTTCATTTCTCTCTCTCTTTGCTGCAGTATGTGGAAATTCCCCCAGTCTGTCTGTGCCTGTGCAAGGTTTGTCTGCTTCTAGCACAGTCTGTCCTGCTAAATCTGCGTGTGGGTGGCGTCCCTCTGTATCCCCCCAGGGACAATTGATTCTATCAAACTTAAAGAAATGCTGTCTTGGTGTCACCCATGCCGGTATCAAGAAGAACGGTAAACTTAGACTTTGCGAAGGCACCGGCAGGCTGGGACAGGACTGACGGGATGCCAGTGAGACTGGCTTTCAGCCCACGTGTCTCATAAGAAGCGAGCAAGAACTTTTGTGCGTACAGTAGGAACTTGGGAAAAGGAAAGACACATTGGAGGATAGACTTAAAATAAAGAGGTTAAGTTCAATTTAATGAGGGGGAAAAGAGGCAACATAAAGAAGTTAGAGTAGTGGGACAACTGCTTATCTTTTGTAAATCCTGTCTGACGGCAAAGGTCAAATTAACCAGCATAAAGGTGACAGATGTCCTTGTTTGATCCTGTTCGGCTCAGGTTTCCATTCAAGACATAAAGCCCCCGATTAAACTTGACTCCTGATGCCCGCTGTCGTCGTAGAGTCAGTGATTATATATCAGCCGTGCCCTCTGCGAGCAGCGCAGCCGCAGCTTTAATGGCTGGTGTGTAAAAACGACCGTCTGTTTTCATGTGCAGGGCTCGCAAATCTGAATTATATAGACCGTGCACATTAATTTGTTGGGTTTTTCTCCCACCTGATAATCTTAACAATGGCATTTAGAGTGGAGGGAGGGGGAAAAAAAACAACAACAAAAACAACTGTTGACAGCTGCAGTTTAATGGCTTTCTGTCATGATCTGCTGTGTGTGCAGTGCTCAGACAGAGTGTGTGTGTGTGTGTGTGTCTGTGTGTCTGTGTGTGTCAGGCAGAAAGAAGCTGAAACATTGAAATACGCCGCTTAAAGTAAGCACTTAATTTATGGCTTGTCTAAACTAGATTAACTAGTATTGTATTAAATTATAAATTATTATGTAATCGAGTCTAGATGCTAAGATTAGCCTAGTTCTTCAGTGCAAACCTTAGACAAACAAAATCAGACAACAAAATCAGCACTATACCGCAAAACGGCAGAAAAAAAATGATGGAAAATCTGAGTTTTTGATTCAGTCTTGAAATTTTAGAGAAAATAGAGCAAGATTTCAGTCTACATGATGTCATTTGACTTGATTGGAGGCGTACCGGTGGATTTATTTAATGACAACACCTCAACCGCACTGCTTTGTTGTGGAATAATCAAAAGCTGACATATCAGCAAAACGATTGAGCCTTTATAAGTCTGGTTTGTCCTGCCATACTTGCATTACTTTGGTGTGGAGTTCTTAAAATAAAGCAATTCAAATCCCTCTATGCATTCTGACTGATGGTCACCTGTGATGGACATTTTTTTCTAATGACTCACACAGACTATTGAGCACAAATACATGCCCTGTTATTACCATGCACGTCTGTACAGTCAATCTTGATTAACATTGCATCAAATGAATAACAAACCTTCTTCCCCCCAACCCTCCGTTTTGTTTTTGTTGTGGTATCTACATCAGGACTCCTCACCCAGCAGGAGGCGGGTCCGATCCTGTGGAGGTGATCCCAGCGGACGGCGACTCTCAAGGCCGGAGTCCAGATAACGCGGGTAATCTGCCTCCGCTGTGCTTGAAGCAGGTCTACCCGAAGTACACCAAACAGTTCAGCCACCTGCGGCTGGTGGAGCGAATCGCCGCTCTCTTCATTCGCTTCCTCGGGGTGAAGGGCAACATGCGCCTCGGCCCCACTGCCTTCCGAACCTTCATCAGGTGCACATGTTTTGTTTTGATCCTGATATCACTCTGCCATGTAAGCTGCAAACACACAGCAAAGCAAGCCTTCGTTTTACTGCAGTAAGACGAAAAGGATTAAGACGGACGCTGATTCCCCTGGATAAAAAAATCCTCCCAGATTTAGCATATGTACGCAGCACAGAGTCGGCACGCCGACTTAATAAAGTAAAAGAAACAGGTGCATTCACAGATTCTGTCTGAAGTAGTGAGAGCCTCATCTGAGCTGTGGTTTCAAAGCGCTGAGACCAGAGAGGCTTTTATTAATTTAGATTCTGCAGCAAAACACTGTCTCACCCTATTTTAGCCTCTTTTTAAGGACAGAACATTCTTGCTGGGAGTTCAGGAAATAGTCTTAACTTTAATTACTCTATAAATACTTTCAAAGACTCCATATGCTTATATTAAAAAGAGAGCGTGAAAAATGGGTACCGTATGCATGTTGTAATAATTTCATCTCTGTTGAAGGTAAAGCTTGTTTTTCATGCAGAATTCCCTTCAGGAAATAATGCATCACATTTTACGGTATCGGAGCAAATGCAGTTTTTAAATTCAATTTACAGGATTACCATGCCGTCTGGAATAGACTTAGTGTGGAATGGAGTTTGGGAAAATAATTCCATCCGCAGACTTTAGCCGTCCATCCGTTTCTATGCCCATCCATCTGTTCATCCATCCATCCTTCCATGGTTCCATATTTAAAGTCTGACCCCTGCACCGACATCTGCTAAAGGAATTATGGCATATTTTCATCTGTGAACTTAAAATTTGAACTAAAATAAGCTCAGAGCTCTGGGAATTTGAAAAAAAAAATAAAGAAAGTATGGCATTTGTAGCTCGTCGGAACCCCATTTGCATAATATTATCATTATTGCATGTAATAAATAAATAAAAAGAAAGAAACTGAGCATATAGAGTTTAAGTAATGAAGGCCCTGCAACAAAAAGAAAGAAATAAACACATCACTTTCCCTCTAAACAATTACAGGTCTGCAGAATGTCGGATTTCTCATTAAAAGTAATAACTTTCTCAAAAACGAGCATCGTCCTTTCTTATCCTTTCGTACTGCTTTGCACTAAATTCTTTTTTTTTTTCTGTTTACTGCTGCATAAACACAGAATCAGTTCTTGCTGTATTGTTGGGATTCTGTCACAAAACACCACACACACACACACACACACACACACACGCAGTCTCATTATTATCTTACATAAAAAGGTGAATATTTCATCTTGTCTTGTAGCAAAGCTTATAAAACGATGCGGCAGCCATCTTCGCTGTTCCTGTCACCATTTGGGTTAACAAGTAGCTGGACTGTGTTGGGCTAATATTGTACACTTTAGAAGCAGCATCATAGCCTGATGCTGCAGTGGTCCTCGCCCTTCAGGTATCTCTGGAATACAACACCGACTTTCTGACCTGACAGCTCTGGGTCAGTGAAATATTCATATACTGCAAGATGTGCAGTGTTCAGCATTTGATTTAGAAAAGAAATAAACCCACAAATCAGCCAGAATCGCCTGTTTGGCTTCATTGGCTCTGATGTGGTTACCGGCCTGTTGAAAACTTAATCATACGATCTTTTTCTGATCAAATGAAATGAATTCAGAGGAAACTAAACGCAGTAAGAAACCATTTGAAAAGGAAACTGTACTTCACATGGCATGTCAAGACATGCTGTTCGTTTAGGTTGCAAGAGAGAGCAAGACTTTGAGCGGACAATAGGAAGGCTGAACAGAGAGGAGTCTCTTTTTTTTTTTGAGCTTTCAACTTTAATGAAACATGCTTGATTTATAAAGGTTGGGAACCTTTTTGAAATGTTACAGTAAAGATGAGATACATCGGTCCTCAGTTCCTGATACTTTGGTTCTGGACTTGCCTATGAAAGTGACCTTATCCATTGATTTTGTCTACCTAAAACCAGCCAATTTCCCCTTTTGTTTTACTCTGACAGAGCTAACTGACCGACCCACTACCTGGCAGGTCAGGCTTTTGGTGATCGGCCAGAAAACTGCAATCGGTGCAACTATAGTACACGCTATTGTCTTAGGGCTGCTATCAGTGCTAATCAACAATATAACATATAGCTATGTTATATTGTTTAAAAGGTAAACTTTGTAAACTTTTTGTCTGCCCATCTCATCACTTCTGTTGCTATGAAACATTAGCTCCTTAAGACATCGGATTTGGCTTCAATCAGTTGCAGCCGCTCTTAAGTTTTACTAAAATGGAGATCATAAATCACCAAAACGTTTCATTGCATCTTAAGACGGACATTAAAACATTTTTGGTTCTCTTATTAGGTCGCATTTGATTTAGACATTAATATTCCTTTATGTTTCCAGGACTTGTAAACTGAGCAACAGCAACCTCACCATGGCCTCAGTGGACATCTTGTATATTGACATCACACGTCGATGGTCCTTCGCCCTGGCCGACTCCCGAGAAGCAGGTAACAAATACTCCCAAAAAAACCAAAAAAAAAAAAAACAAGACCTCCCACTGGGTTCTTGGAGAACAGAGAACTGAACATCCTTGAGACTCTGTGAAAATAATGTGCTCCCCTATAAATGCTTGTCGTTCTCCGTCAGAGTCCCTTCTCCCATAATTGAAATGAGGCGAGATCACAGCATGGCGGCGCAGAGACCGTCCCGACATGAATTATTCAGGCGTCCCACCTCGCAAAGACTGCGACGTAGAGTAGATTGTTGGATGTGGCATGGACCGGCATGAGGAGGTCCACTGGGGAGCGTGTAGGCTGAATGTCAGATGAGCTTTCAGTAGGACTGGAGTCGGTCGGCTGTTGCGTCTGGGCGCGTTCAGTCAGGTGTATTTATGGGGAACCGATAAGAAGCGAAGATGATTTTTAAAAGACGTTACGAGTAGAATAATGGTGCAACAGACCTAGTGAGGTATGAATCCCTCTCAGATTTATTGTTTTCTTATCTGTTGTTCTCGAGTTTGAGTCACACTGACCTCACAAAAAGTCGGATAGGAAGGCTACTTATTACTTGAGGAGATCAACCCACTTTTAGCAGAAATCTATGATGTAATTTGGTCTAAAGCTGGACTCATTCACTGCTAACGAAACTTTCCTTCTCCTTTCAGCCACAGTTCTAAAGAAGCTGTCAGCTGAAAGGTTATTACCTTCAGCTTTTCTAAGCTGAAAGGTGAAAATTGCTTGGACTTTTTCTTTTTTTTCAGGATGTAAAGCTCGTTCCATTCAGATCACACCAAGTTATGAACATTTCATTCGGTCCAAAATTAGAAAAAGGAAAAGATCAAATGACAAAGAAACTGACAATTAGGGATCGTCTTAACCTGGATGCATTTTATTTAATCTTTTTGCTATGAGCTTTTCACATGTTGATGTTTGAATTATTACCTTTTTGGCTGCAGATGAATCCTTTTCTACAAATAATCAAACGCACACAATGCCGATAGAGACGTTGATGCTGATATATCGTGCATCCCTTGGGGAAAAAAAAAATCTTAGCGAGGAGCTTTTATCCCCTTTAAACAATTTTACTCACATTTTTCATCTTTACAGTAGTGGGTACCAATAACGGTTTAAGGCGCCGTGTGCGTATGCCTCAAAAAGTCGCCGCGCTTGTAAATCGGCGTTTCCTGTTCCCCGTACAGGGATGGGACTGCAGGCATTCGTGGAAGCCTTTTTCAACCTGGCGGGGCGGCGGTTCAAATCCCTCGCGCTGAGGGAGCAGGTAGTGTCCCTGCTGGACCTGTGCGAGTCTCACCTGGGGCCGCAGTCCGGCGCCGAGGACAGACGCTCGCTGAGCTGCAGCAGGGCGCTGCCGCGAGGCGGCAGGACCCCGGCACTCTACCTCCCCCGCCCTCGGCCCATCTCTCCGGCCGCACACCGGAGGGCCACGAGCCAGGACTGCCGGCCACATCAAAGACCAAAGCCTCGCACGCTCAGGGCAAACGTGGAGAACTGATGAGAGGGAAACCCGCTGCATCGCCTTGGACCCTCTCCACAGGAGCGAGCGGGGAGGAGGGGTGATTAAGGGTCCATTTCTCCTCCGCAGAGTCTGAGAAGGGCTAGTCGACCCCTGCTGGCTGGCTCGTCGGCACACTGCTCTCTGCCTGATTGCTTTTTTTTTCTTTTTTTTTCTTTTTTTCCTTTTGAGGAGGAAGATGGCCTCGGGGAGGGTGTGGGGGGACCGAAATGGTAATGGAGGCTGGTGGATTCCTTCCTCTCCTCAGATCATGACAGATCACACGTTAACAGTGCGGTCCTGTCAGGAGGAGGATGTGGCTGCTTTTTATGTACTGTTTGATTCTAAAGGGCAGCTACTTGCTTCCCTGCTCTTCTGTCTGACTACGTCTCCAATAAAACCTTTATATGTTTTATTTTTTTATGGGTTTTTTCCCCCAGGGAGCATAGTAGATATTTTATGTAAGTTAATTCACACAGATCACACAAACAAGTGGGTGTAAGGGAGCATCCTGTGTGTTATACACTTGCATCATGATGTCATTTAAAATAGTTTTTTTTTTGTTTTCCAGTAATTCAATTGAACTCTCAAATATCTCAAATATCATGTACCTAATAATAATCCAAAATGAAGTTTATCAGAACATAAATTGTACTGAACTAGTTATGTTCAGTTAAACATTTACTGTACAACTACATGTACTCAATTATTTCATGACTGTTTGCATCAGTGACCCCAGCCTCTCTGGGCTTTGCTTAACAACCTCCCTGTTGCTTTAGCACTTTTTCCTCCCACTGAACTTTCTATGTTAATGTACTTGGATAGAGCCAGACCCTTTTTGTCAGAAGTGTCCAAAAGTCACCAAGTTCAAAGTGTTGTGGGCCACAAAAAAAAAAAAAAAAACTAAAGTCAAAATGTGCTATTTATATATTCAAACATTGATTGGGATTTATGAATCATTCGAAACACAAAATGAGTCGAGGAATTTTGCCTCGGTACATGAGAGGCATACATAATAGATGTTTTGAGTTTTAATCTATTTTCAGCAACAGGTGTGTGTCACGGCTCACTTTTTCTTCAAAGAAAAAAAAAAAACTCTTGCTGTGTTAAGCTAAGGTTATTACATGAGTCACCTGGGTCTGCTTTTGAGTCACTGGACGTTTCTGGTCCTGTTTATTAAAAAAAAAAAAAAAAAAAAAAGGGGAAAAAAAAGAATTAAAAAAAAAAGAAACACTATAAATTTAACTTTTTTTTTTTTTAATTTTTTTAATAAAATGGCTAAAAAAATACCAGAGAACCAAACAAAAACCTAGGGGACTCA